TAGTCCACCATAACCCAGACCTGAGGACCAGCATGTAGTCCACCATAACCCAGACCTGAGGACCAGCATGCGACGGCGTGTTGACAGCGTGCTCTGCGCCTCCAGTCACTTCACGCTTCACTTGTGTTTGTGTGTTTTCTAAATGATGCCTGCTTGTCGGCGTGCGTTAAGTTCAACCACCTGAGCAGCACCAGAACCACAGACGGCTGCCATCGATGCTTTGTTGGCACTTCTTGTTCGTTATTTTGAAGAGGACTGAGTCCTTTCAGTGAACCTCTTTAACATGCGGCGCTAATTTCCATCATATCTACGATGTTATATTAACGGATGAATGCAGCTTCCTGTGTTTCGTGGCTGCTGCTGCTTCCTGTGCTGACAGTCATGAATATTTCATCTCGTCTAATAAGGTCACTTTGTCGTCGCTCTCAAAGGTCACGGCCTGTTGACTGAGAAGCTGCTATTTATACTGCACACAGTGAGGAGGTGAGCGCAGCATTAATATTATCTTTACTGTCATTTCAGAGCTGATCTCGTGCCTCAACCGCGTAGAACCAGAACTGAGTGGATTCGATCGTCTGGAGTGTTTGTGCACGCACAGACGCCGCTGGATGCCATCGCCGTGGTAACTGATGCCAAGCAGCAAGCGAGAGGAACTTGAGATGCTGGCGGGGAGTCGGGTCAGGGGAGAGGCAGGGGGTCGGCAGGAAACCGAGCCTGCTCAGAACCTCATCAGCGCAGCCCGCCACGACCTGAGCATCAGCGTCCTGCTGGGAGCTACGAGATGACAGGATTATTACCCATCAGCCACTGCAGCAGGCAGCTGCCATGTGTTTGGTAGATTTTAAAGCTTTAGTGGCTGCAAACCGAGCCGGTCGAGGAATCTTTCTGTTAAACTAATACAAACATTCATTCCTCAAGTCAGAACCTACGAGATGCTCAACACCAGAGCTGTGTTTCAGCACCGACACCGGGACGAGCACATGAAGCTCAGTGGGATGAAGGACTAACGAAGTCAAACACAAACAACTTGCACGGCTCTCATTGTGTTTGATCGACAAGAAAAGTCTGCACATAACGAGAACATAACGAACTCTGACTTAGGGGTTCTGGACACGCTGAGTTTTTAAAGTTTATTTACAGGACGTGTACTTTGCTGACATGCAGGCGACACATGACCAGTGAAATGAGCGATTAACAAGAGAGAAACATTAAAACTTCAGATTTAGTTGGTAAAGGAGATGCACAGTGAGCTGTATGGAGACACTTCAGCTCCATAAAAGCATGAAGTTGACCAAAAACAGGCTCTCCTGTCGATGCCAGGGTCCTGCCGCCGCCGCCGCCACACCGCGCTGTGTAACCAGCCCTACGCCTGATGTGAACGTCATCCTGCTTTTTTCTGCTTATTCATTTTTATTTTCTGTGCAGATGCATTCTATACAAAAATCACCCCGATCGCTCTGTGATCCCAAATTCTTTCCAAATAGAACTATTCAGGTCACCAGGTAAAAAAATCCTGTTTTTTTTCATATCGTAAAACAACTAAATATCACACTGTGCGTACTTTAATCACTGTGCAAGCCCAGTCCACAAACACGTATGTAGATGATGAACGGTAGGAAGTAGATGAAACCAGCAGATACACACCACCCCGGGAATCCTCAACTAAACGCTGGACCTCGTGCAGCCCCTCTGAATATGAAGCCCCACCTGAACATACAGATCAGATTACTTTCGCTGCTTCATCGTAGAAATATGACAATTCTGCATTTACACCCTGCTCATCTCAAACCACCACACTGCAGGCTTTCAACAGGTGGATTTTGCACATCGTAGTCATCGACACACCTTCCAGGAGTGCAGCTGCTCTACGATACTAAGGTGGGATTTACTACCTGCAGGTCTGAAAAGTTTACCTTGAATGCGTGAAGCCCTACGGCAGGCAGCGCAGGACAAACTGAGCGCAGCATACGGGATCAGACGAAGTTCTGTAATTTAAGGTTTTTGTAAATGTACTTCTTTGGTTAAAGGAGGCAGACAACATGAGATGATTCGTCTTTCTGCTGCCTTTGCTTCAGGAGTGTTTGTTTCATGTTTGTTTTGTTTTAACTCAATGAATGAAACAGAAATCTGAAAATCTACAGCTTTCTGCTGAATATCTGAGGCATGTAGAGGCCTCGCCGCTGGTCACATCTCGGTAGACTGCCATCGTCTCAAATTATTGTTGACCTTCATATTTCTCCTCAACAACTCAGAAGCAGATCCTGACCCGGCCCGACCCAGCATCACATCACAGGACGTCATCAGGCAGCTGCACTGCCCAGAGCTCTGCACGGGGACGCCACTAACATTCACACTCTGAATCACACTGCAGTCGTCGTCCTGTTGATTTCACTGGACATCCTCACATGGTTAAAAGCAGATGACTTACAGCTAAACCTGCTGTTCATTAGGTTTCATACGTCCAGAGCTTCAAACGCACAGCGACCTGAGTGCACAGTCTCATAGCTACTTACAGTAAATCTCTGCTGAGCTCTGAGCCGATGTAGATTGGTTTCAGCTCTCTGTTCAGTGGGATTTATGTGTGTGAGTAGGCACTGCGAGCCTTTTGCCAAAGCCTCCCACCTCGCCAGCCAAGCCTATTCAGACGAGCCGCAGAGCCCTTTCTTGGCCAAATGTCACACAGCAGCAGCAGCAGCAGCAGCAGCATGCGCCACTACAGCGGGCTAATTAACCCCAGGAACAGCGCAGGGGGGCAGGTGTGCTGTTGACACGCCTCTGGTGAAAGTTTTGCCTCCATTACTACGTCTCACAGTCTGATGCTCCCACAGGCAGGCAGGAGGGGAAACACTCACTCCTCACGCTGCCGTGATACAGACACAGCAGGCCAGTGTGTGTCTGCATGTGTGACCTTGACACGCCTGAGAAAAGGAAAATACAGCCCTGTGGGAGATGGCGTCAGTGTGTTACGTCCTCCTGAGAGAGAGAGAGAGTGTGTGTGTGTGTGTGTGTGTTAGTAGAGAAGTGTTTTTGAAATGTGCAATCACGGAGCTGCAGGTCACATCTGATATGTGATAAAGACTCGACAGCAGAGTCGTTTCTGTCTGACGCACAGATTTGGTTGAGCAACACTCAAGTTCCTGTTTTTGGTTTGGACTGTCAGAAATAAACCTGCTTTCACTCTGGTGATCCCGACATCAATCTGTTTTAGGCAAAATACAGTAAATGACGAGGATGGAAACTGGGCCGACTGAGAGGAGCTCTGCCGCTATTTAACCAGATGAGAGCTGATGTGTTTTTATATCAAACACTGAAGGCAGGAAGGAGGCTGCCGGAGCGTCTGAAGCACACAGCAGCCGCCGCCAGGCCGTCTACCGGCTACGTGGAGAGTTTTCTCTGCTGTATCCTGAACCCTGTGATGAATCACTCACTCCCAGGTTGAACATTTCTATCAGTGCTCCTCTTCCTTCACCCAGAGGTCAGGCTCTGATCACACATTAAAGGACAAAGCTGCCCCCGTGGCACTTGGAGCGAGCTGGTCTGAGGGCTCTGCTGTACTGCGGGGGGCATTTATTTGGCATTGTTTGGGTCTACCTGCCCCCTTGCAGAAACATTTCCCACCTATAGGAAGCCACTGAATGGCTGAATGACTGAGGTGGATCATACGCTGGGCCCTTCGCTGCCCCAGGAGCTCCATCTAACTGAGAAGATTCAGACCAACATGTCCGACAGCGCTCTCTGGCACCACCACGTAAACACCTCGTGTCAGCCGAGTTCCACAGATCTGAGCTGTTCTGGTGAACCAGAGACACTCCATGTCGGATTTCCCTTTCACTTGCCACCCATCTGTATCAGCTCACTGTTTGAACACTACCTGGCTGCTCACTAAACCTGACCGGACCCGCTGTGCATTGATGAGGCTGCGGTCTGCGGCCATCATGGTCCACTGGCACCAGACAGAAACATGGAGGAAGAGGAGGAGAAGCTGGAACACATTAGAATCACAGACCCCCACAGACAGACGGTGGAGAGGAAACAGTGACACCTGGACGCCTCACCTGGCTTTGGACCACGATTACATCACAACATTTCCACAAACCTTTCTTGAACTCCTCCAGCATGGAGTCCAGCTTGGTGTCATGGAAGACAAAGTGGACCGGGTGGTTGTAGAACTTGGTGATGGTCTTCAGGGTGGTGCAGTCGTCCGGGTCCACGAAGGCCAGATCCTTGACGTACAGGATGTCCACGATGTTGGAGCGCTCGTCCTCGTACACGGGTATCCTGGTGTATCCGCTCTCCATGATCTCAGACATGGTGTTGAAGTCCAGCACGGCGTCGCTGTGGATCATGTAGCAGTTGTTGACTGGGGTCATGACATCCTCCACTGTTTTGGTCCGGAGCTCCAGCGCTCCTTGGATCATGTTGAGCTCCTCTTTGACCAGGTCGTTGTAGGGCTCCGTCACCTTTAACATCTCCACCAGCTTCTCCCGGTTGTACACGGTGCCGATCTCCTGGCCCAGCACGCAGTCCAGGATCTTGCTGATGGGCCAGGACAGAGGGAAAGTCAACAGCATGAACAACTTGGTGACCAGGATGGTGTTGGCCCCGACGGCCAGGCCGTGGCGGGAGCACAGCGCCTGAGGGACGATCTCGCCAAAAATCACGATGCCGATGGTGGAGGCGACCACGGCGCCCAGCCCCGAGCCGATCAGGTCGTCCAGGAGGATGGTGAGGGTCGTGTTGACCAGGACGTTCCCTAAGAGCAGGGAGCACAGCAGGTAGTTGCCCTTCCTGCGAATGGGCTCGATCTTCCGCGCGTACTTCTTCTCCTTCTCGGTGCCGCAGCTCTGCACGATGCGCAGCTCCATCGGGTCCAGCGCCATCAGCCCCAGGTTGAGCCCGCTGAACATGCCGGACAGCACCAGCAGGAAGGAGATGAGGATCACCTGCAGCCAGATGGGCAACAGGGACTTCTTCTCCTCCACCACCCGCAGCCTGCCGTCCTTGTCGTCCAGCAGGTACCACCTCTGGTCCTGCGCGTCGCGGACGCACAAGCCGAACACTTTGACCACTTCGCTCTTGCGGAGCTGCTTGATGCTGAGGCTGACCACCCCGGTGGTGTTCTGGTTGCTCACCACCATGGGCCCCTTCACTACGATATCCTTCGTGTGTTCGGGACAAGTTCTATTGAAGGAGACCACGACCGAGCCGAAAGCGTCGTCCTCTTTGTCACTGGAGTACAGCTCCATGAACGTGATGAGCTCCGAGCTGTTCGGGAACAAGTGGAGCCCGTAGACCCTGAAGAGGATGTCGCTGCCCTCGGTCACCTGAATAACGCCCGCCTCGGTGGTCCCGGCGGGTCTGTCGCTCCTCTCCAGCCTCATGCCGAGTATCCGAGTGGTGCCTCTCGACTCTGAAACCGCCGCCTCGGCCCGGCTGCCCGCGAAAACACAAGAAAACACGAATAAAGTTAGCGTGAACCCCCGTCCACTCGAGTCTATCGCCATGTTTGTTTCGCTCTCTGCCAACGGGGGGAACTGACGTCACCTACTCCTATCCACGGATCCGCCCCCTCATTTGCATACACACATTCGGCCAATCACCGAGGAATACGTCACTCATTAACTTACACGGAGCCCCGCCAACTCTTATTTTTAAGGTCGACTGAGCGTTTTGCTTTTAAGGTGGACCAGTAAAAATGCAAACTTCAATCTGACGTCTTCAGCTGTTGATTGTTGACAAAAGAAACTCAGGAAGGATTTTATTCAACGATTTGAATTTTTCATGTTTTGTTTACAGTATTTTTAAGCCAGCAATATGATGGACTTTACTGAGAATTACAAACTCGCTTGTATATAAAAATAAATGCCATCCCTGCCAGTTTTTTAAAGTGAAAAATCAGAAAATCTCTAAATAAACAATTTAACATGTTTTCTATTCAATAAAATCCCTGATAGGTTTACATCTAGGTACTGTTCACTGTTTAATTACATTGGACCTAACTGTCAGCTGTTTTTCTTTGTGGTTTCTCTTCTAACATCACATTAAGATTCACCTGCTGATGAGCGACTTCACTGCTGCCTCTCATCTAAACCAAACACAAAAACTGAGTAAAGCACATAGTGACAACGGCATAAATGAATCCAAATGAGTTTGGCCCTGATAATGTTGGCTGTTTTTGGAAAGCGATCACAGCACAGTGATGAAGAGGAGACAACGCTGTTTAACGTTCTGCTGCTTCTGATTGTGACTTATAAAGAGGCTCCACTGTGGAGAAAGATATGGGACTGTATGAAGCCAGCTGTGGAACTGTGACGAAGCAGAAGCACAGAAAGGCAACCAGGAAGGAGACCAACAGCCTCCCAGCTGTCATGTTCTGCCCAAACAGTGAACACTTGATGTGAGAAGACAAAGCTTCAGCTGATACTCATTCAGCCTGCAGAACCTCCACTGAACACTACAAACCCATATGCTGCTGTCTGCAACTGAAATCTGACCTTTGGACAAGAGCACAAGGAAAGGTAATGATCTGAGCACCTGCGGCTGCTTGAGACGCACACCACCCATGTGGGGTTTGGGGGAAATTCATAGAATATTTATTTAAAAGTCTGAAATCTGATGAACTATCAGGGTGAATGACATTATACCTCAAATGTCAATGATTATAATCTAAGGCCTTATTTAGTGTGAGTCATGTGTAAAGGTATTTCTGAGGGCAGAGCGCCATCTTGTGGTGAAAGTGTGGACAGTGCATCCTGATGGATGGTGAAACAGAAGGTAATCAGACATCAGCCCAACTCTAATGT